CTTCACCTCCATTCCATTCGCGAGTTCTGTCCGATCAGTTCTTCCTTGTCCTTGCCATTGTCTATTTTTGTCCTTTATCCTTTTACTTTTCTCTTCTTTTCTTTTCCCGTCTTATTGGTTCCTTTAATTATGTCCTTATAACTTTTTTAATTGTCTTCATTTTCTTTTGTTAATTGTCTTATTTTTTTAATGTCTTATTTTCTTAATCCTTCCTTTAATTCTTACGTTTTTTTATTCTACTTTATTTGTATTTCATTTTTTGTTTGATTTCAGTAATATTTTCATCTTTACATCTTCTTCACCTCATCTTTTCTTTTTCTTTATCTGCCTGATTTTCTTTTTCTAATCGTTTTTATCTTAATTTTTTCTGTTGCTTATAATCTATTAATTATAATTTAATGATTTAATGATTTGTCCATTTTCATTTCCTTTTAGTCATTTGTCAATTGTATATCTCAATCATTAAAAGGAAAATGTTTAATAATAATAATAAAACTATTTTTATTCAAAAAAACAAATTCTCGACAAAGACTATTATGTATAAGAGTGACTTTTTATCGGTTCTCAATTTCAAGAAAAATGACAAGTCATGATTAATGTGGATTTTTCGCTGAATATAACGTAAGAAATGTTTCGTATTTGCATCATACTCATATTACCTTTACCTCGCATGACAAAATACACGAACACTGTCGATTCGATGCGCCAGCTAAAGTGTCGATACATCGATTTGTTCCAGCAGCCGCCCAGCTCGCAGGAGCGTGGCAGCGGCTTGGCTGTGGGGCGCCAGGGGGGGACCTGGTAGCACGGGGGGACCCGGAACAGTGGACCAGGCACGGGATCTGAGTCCTTGCCTTCCCGCATCGATGGGCGATGCTGCGCGACCCACCACTCTACCGTGCAGTCCTCCTGCAGCCCATCATCACGAGTCCCATCATACGCCCCTGCATCAAACTCACTGTGGCACCAATAACAATTGTTACGATGGTTCGACCACCCCATATGAGTCGAGGGATTACGACTCACCTGGAGGTACGGTTATCTTTTATCCGTCAAAGGGAATTGGGCAGAAGATGACAAAATTCGTTGAGAAGAATACGATTAAGAATCATTTATGAAATTATGTTTTCCTTTTTCTTAAAATCTTTTAGTTTAGCTTACAAAGTCGTTTGAATCTTTTTAGTATTAATCAGTTTAATGATGAAATATTTTGTACTGTTAATAATGATTGCAAACAAAATAGAAACATAAATTAATGACAAATGACAAGTTGATGTAACGATTCTTTTAACATGCTTTTCGCAGCGGGCGGACAGGAATATAGAGGAAGCGGTAGGAACTTCGACAACAGTGACCTAAGCATACCATCGCAAACCGCGCATCACCACCATCATCATCACCATCACCATCACCATCATCCTCATTTACATCCACAGACGCACTCACAGGAACAACAAACCACGACAGAACATTTGCATGCCGTCCCAAAGTTGGAACCGCCGCCTACGCCACCCGCGCAATCGGAGGATGTTCCGGGGGTAGTTTGCGCGGGATGCGGCCTCAAGATATCAGACAGGTTTTATCTGCAAGCCGTCGATAGGAGGTGGCATGCCGCATGTCTTCAGTGCTCGCACTGTCGGCAGGGTCTTGACGGGGAAGTCACCTGTTTCAGCAGAGACGGAAACATCTATTGCAAGAAGGACTACTATCGGTGAGCGAACATTTGAATTTACATTAAGAATCTAGACGAAGTAGGACGATTAGATTCTCTTATATCAAAGGGGGAAAAAAAACAAATTTTATGATATCGACGTGGTTAGCCGTAAGAAAGATAAGCGCAAATCAATATTTGATAGTAAAATAAAAATGTACGTGCAAAAAAACAATACGTGAATCAACGTCTCGAATACTAGAGAGAGAGAGAGAGATATGTAGTCGCTATTTAATGCGCTCGTGATTGCACTTCAGACTCGAAGAGAATCTCTCGACTTAAGCATCGCTGAATACCTTTGCGTAAGAGAGGGTCGACACTTTAGAAGAGAATCTTGATTTTTCCGACAGAATAATCTTATCGGCGGACGTTCGCGACTGTCCAGCAATTTTGTCCTATTTTCGATAGGACGAGGTCGCGGCTCGTTACGAAGTCGCCAAGAATAACCGTGCTGCTCACGCGAGCAAGTCAAGCGCTAAGTAATTTCTGTCGATTCCAGGGCCGATTTGAAGAGTCGCTCGGAAAAAATCGCATTGCCCGTTGCGTAACTGTCGTTTCTCTGCACGTGAACGTGCATCGTGATTTCGATCGTTACGAATGCTCGCAACTAGCTACAAATTGCATTGATAGAGCCATATTACGGAGGATAATGCGAAGTGCAATTTTTGAGCGAATTATTCCTCGAGGCTGTTTTACTCCGAAGAAATATGCGGAATGATGATTCTCGGAACATTCTCGAAATTTCGAAATCGCGAAGTTCTCCAGAAAGATTCATATTTATCATTTATAAAACGATATTACGGTAGATGATTGTATTTAAAATGCAGATTCACTTTGCAAATTTTATTCTTATAAGCGTATTTTGTTTTATTTTCACAAAGAGGCTAGAAGAGTTAGCTAAAACTCCAATTAATCCTAACTTACATTTGTGGACAATAGTTTCACAATAGTGTGAGAAAGTAACTTTCTTCATTTTGTCGCAGGAGTGCGACACAAAATCCTATAATGTATCAGCGGCCATTCGAGATGCGTCGTTATGCAGGGCCATAGCGGAGGGCCTGATGGGCCGTATTGGAACTCTGTCGGGCCTCACACGGTGTCGATTCGCGCACGTTGTCGCTTCGTAAGTACGGGACGGTCTAGTATACCTACCATGGTCCGCGAACTAATGGTCACGACTTAACCATTTACCTCCAGCGAAGTCGGTCGATTGTTGATAAGTAAATCATCGCCGATCTACATTTCGTAGCAGAGGATGTGTATGTGCACCAGCGCCGCTCGTGATGCACTCGATCGTCGCTTTCAAGTGACCGTTCAGTCTACGTCGATTATCCGCAATTCATCAATCTTCTCATCGATCTTTCCAGATCGTTTAACTAAACGTGACATTTCTTTTGTTTAACGTGGATATTATTTTTTAGGTCACTAGTAGTCCTCGTATCAATTGCAAAGAGAGATGCGATTAAATAGATAATATAATTACTTAATTAAAAGGTGGATATTTTATCGTATTTTGTCGTATACCATTCAAGTTTTAATTCTTCGTTATTTACGTATTATAGCAATACCCGGATAAACGCCTTTCCGCGTTATAATTTCGGCGTTTCCGCCATTGCGGCGTCGTCACGCTACAAACTCATCAATTATGTGGCTTCATCGGTGTCTCCTTAATGTCTTATCGTCTTAAAATCGTCGCGAGCAAACATAACTCGCCCGTTCGTTCTGTCGCAATTTCGGGAACTGCTTCTCGTCGTCCTCCCTTTTTCGTGCTGCACCTCCAAAATCGCATTAGCCGATCTTAGAAGGGTGAACCCGAGATCCTGGGATAAGCAGCTGGTTCCGTCGGAGTGGACGCGTGCTCGGACGACTTCGCGTCTGCAGGCGAATAAGGAAGAAGGAGACGAGAGTCACATGCACGCGTGCAATTCGGAGAACTAAATTAGCCAGCGCTCGTCACTTACGGTGATTCGGTTCGTTAGGTGCCTGATGCGATCTTAATAGTATAAATAAATGTATAATAAGAATTACTTTTTGTGAAGAGATTCGGAGGAGACGAGCGAAATTTCTTATTCATTGTTGGAGCTATCTTAATGCTAATGATGACAATTTAGTCTCCTTTTCAAGGTAAAAGGTAGCGCTCTTCGCTCGACTTGAAACATTCCTCCTTGAAACATTCCTCCTGAAGACCTAAACTTTCGTTATCACGAATTCATACGTTAGGAAAATACGCGACATCCCAAGAAGCGCAGACGTGTTGTCGCACGCGTCGCGTTCACACGTCCGCGCACTCGCGTGCATGTAAGTTCCGCGGACGAGCGTGGAAGTGCGTGAGATGTCGCGCGACGTCATACGAAGCCCCGACATCGAGCCGACATGGAGTCGCACGGACATCCCGTCACGACACGGTTTTAGCCCAAAGGTCTTATCTCACACTCGTGCGCACTCGTGTTTGTGGCGAGCCGGCTGTTATTAGCCAGGAACATCGTACGACATTCGTGCGACGAGCTCGATTCTCTCATAATATTCATTCAAGCGCTCATTCTAAATAGGAATATTTGTTTGATGGATCATTTCTATTCACGAGAATATTCCACGAGAATATTCTCGCTATTTCCGAATACAATTTTCTGAACGACCAATGAAATATCCCAACCAATCCGGAAATATCTCGAAAAATTTTTGAAAAATATGCGGACTGTTTTAAAAACTTTTTACACAATGTTTATAATGTTTTTTATATTTTAATTTGAAATTTTCTCTTTAAAAAAAATTTTTTTTTTCTATTCACGCTGCTGATCAAGTCATTTTTTTATAATACATTTAATAAAACATTTATTTATTGTTACTATACTTCAAACAGATTCCAATAATTATTTTGCTTTAATAAATGACAGTAGTCCTCAGAGATTTAAATCTTTATCCATATCGTAAAATCTTAAAAGGATAAATGACATTACGGATTCGTCCAATTCAGAAATAGATTGTCATTAAGATTCATTGCTTCTCCGATCGCCTCGAGACCAATCTCAGGGCCAATGATGGCCCTGCGTGTCGACGGCTCTTAAAACCTTAACAAGTCACTTTCCGGGAGAAGAATACGAATATCGCCATGTTACATGTCGAAAGTACCTCGTCACCTTGCGTGTTACTTCGGCCCGCCCGGGTGGTTTCGTCGTAAAAATTGCTTGCCCGTAAAGAGATCGTTGCACGCCGAGGAAGTAAGAGCTTCCTGGACTGTTCCGTTCCTTTCTTTCTCCCCTTCCCCGTATTCCTCAGCTGCTCTATCTTTTTTTTTCTCCTCTTACCGTACATTTTTTTTTGAGCGCGCCTCCTTAATCGTGCTTCGATCCGCGACGCTCGGCGAGTTGTATATTTGCTGTTAATCAAGGCGTGAATGAAAGAATACAAAATTACAAAAATTCTCCCTTCTGCATAATGTGATACATATCAAAGACGAAATATATACAAAATTCTAGAATTTATTCAAAAAACTCAAGATATATAAAATATGTATGTATGGAAATTTAAATTTGTTCTGCAGCTTTAACGTTATAGAATTGCAAGGCCTGAATGAGGCTTTCTACAAAAGTTTTATAAAATCTGTAAACATATAAATTTCGAAGAGGGAGAACTTGGAGATATGGTATAATTCGATAATTCAGATAAATATATACAAAAATTTCGTTTTTACTCATATGAGATTTAAAATTTATATAACAATGTATAAAGATATTGACATGATGTTGACAGCATTCTTTGAAAACTCACGGAAACTCATTCTATAGAAAATTCATATGACACTCCCATATATACTGTAGCGCGAAAGATGAAAGAAGAACAAAGTCATTAAACTCACCGACTCTTCCGAACAGCGAGGGCTACAGCGTCGGATCGGATCGGATTTGCCAAAATGTAGATTTTGCGGTAGGTTTATTTTCGTTATGGATTGCTGTTGAAATGATCACTGGTGTAGCGGCGCTCGGCCCTCGCACTTTCGTTCGCCACCGGTTATTTATCAGCTGCACTCGCACCACGTGGGACGTTGGACACGCATAATTTATCGCGCGCGATTCCTCTTTACACATGGCGATCAGGTAAGGAAACTCCGAACGAGTCGTCGTGAATCCTGATCAGTTTCGCGTTCTCAAGCAAAATCATCGACTTCTTGAACTTATCGAAAGTTTCGAATTCTCAGATAATATTATAATATAATTTATTAACATCGATGTTTATTCGATATTCATACGCTCTATGTAACAGTTCCAAACGTAAGCAGATTTAAGAAGCGCCTTAAAAAGAAATATATGATCATAGCATGTGCGCTTAAATTTGATGAAGTCGGATGTAATCTCTAATAAGCCCTTGGCATTTGATCTCTTAATCCTTAATAAAGCTCTTATTGTACATCGCGTGTCATTTATTGCACAATGCTAATTTTTCATCAAGGTGGCCAGCAGAAATTATTTGATCATCTCGGCATCTTTATACACCACTATAATCATCTGCACTCATTCGTTACTAATTTCATGCAGCACTTAACGTGAATAACGCATGCGGCCAGTGCATTTACCTTTCTCACCCTCCCCCCCCCTATCTTCTGCAGAAAAAGAGCACATCAGTGGCACATGGAACTCAGATATATGTACCACCGGATCTGGAACGTGTACCTGCTCATTCATTAAACGCATTAGCGCGATTTATCAGCGATCAAGAGTATAGACACGCTATGATTCCTGCCACCCGCGTCTACAGTTGCGTTGGCGAACGGAGCGGAAAGGATGAAAAGGAGAACAATGTGATTGAAGAACTCGTGATTTTTCAACCGTGATTCTTTGAAGTAGACTTCTCTTGTTCCGTTTTCGAATTTATGAATTTTTTCAAATTCATGACTTTTTTAAAAATCCCTTCCTTCCTCCCCCTTTCTCTCTTTCTTCCTTTCGATGATATATATATATATATATATATATATATATTCAAATATTCCATTTCTATCTTCTTAT